TTTTTTTTTTCATGAACGGAAACCGAGTGAAAGAGCGAATGTCAGCGAGCAAGAGACAGCTAAGCTGAATCATCATCATCATTATTGTAAAATCAGAATAGAGAGGAAAGAGAAAAAGAAATAGAAAAAGTAAGTCTTTCGTAATTGAGTTTCTATTCGACGCATAAACACGCACATTCATATGTATGTTTCATTAGATTGACAATGACACGAGAACGTCAGCTAGGTCATACAACAATATTCTTATCACCTTGAAGCATATTATTTGTTACAAAAAGAAACTAACTAAAATAATGTCATATTGTCGAAGGGGATGATTTTCTTCAGATGCAAGCCTTATATTAATATAAAACATCATTATTAAATTAAAAGTAGTATTATTATTATTATGATTCGTGCTCGTCGTCGACAAGATCCAACAAGTTCAAGTTTTTCTTCGACACGTACATCAGTTAGTAGTAATGCTCCATGGAGTGATGCATCATCTTTATCACCTATTAACCATAATTTATTGTCCCCACAATGGTCAACATTAAGATCTAATCGACGTTTTACACTTTCTATAGTTCCGGCAGCTCGTCTACCTATATCTCCAATGTCACCTCAAGCTGCACTTCGGGACCTTTGTTTACCACGACAAGAACCACGTCCACCAGCTGATGTACTAAATCGATCATATCTTGGTTCGTGTTCGCCATCTTTAGCTAAGTTTAGTCGTACGAGTGTTAGTCAGCATGCATCAACGTCAACAAATACAACAATAACATTACCACCACCAACAATTTATACTGACAATTTTCTTCATCCAACAATACCTTATCTTACCATTAATACTCGTGGATCACATCGTCATCACCATCATTGTCGACATACACGGTAAAATGACTCTACATGATATAAAAAATAATAAAAAAGTTAAAGAATTTATTTTATTTTTTTTAAGTCGAAATATTACAATGGAGTAAGTCTCATTTACAAATACAGTTATTAGAGCTTTATTAATATATAAAGATTTCGAGAAATTTTTTAAACTTTAGTCTTTGCTTGATAATATACTAAAAAAAACTATTTAATTTTTGTTAATTCTAGAAAAATCTGCGTTAAATAACTTTATTTTTTAATTAACAGAGCATTTAACATTGTACAAGAGTTCTCTAAGAAAACTAGAAATAAAAAACAGACACTCTAGTTAACTACATCGAACAGTTTTTAAATATTTTTATATGTTTGAAATAAGCACTGGTATTCATTGAAAAACATTGTTTTAGTTCTTGTTTTGAATATATCTACATTATAGAATGAAAATTTCCTGCAATGTAAAGATTCATTTAAATGAATTCTTTTAAACTTGAACCTATTTTCTATTAGTAACTGGATTAAATAAAATAAACAAGATAATTAAAAACTTTATTCTGTAAAACAAAGAAAAAAATCTATAGTTAATTAAATTAAATAATCTACAACATAATACTAAGAAAAGTTTCATATATATTATTTTTTTTAAATTTTATTCAAGATTCTAAATTAAGCATAGAAAAAAAATTCATTCAAGGAACTTTGATAAGGTCGAAAGCCTTTATGGAAGTATGTAAAATAAAAAAAAAAAAGGAAAGTAAACATATTCTAACTTTGTCTTTTTCTGTGTTCTTCTAAATAATAAAACGGATTTTTTTATAAGTGTCATTATAAAATATTCAAAACACACTTTACAAAAAAATTAAATATTCCTTTTTTTTTTGTTCTAATTAAAATAGTATCATTATTATTCTCTGTTTGAAATAGTATCTTGTTAATAACAACTTATATCGATATTTGTTGTTGCATCGAATACTTCAATGAAAACAAAAAAAAGCCATCTGGATATGTTCGACAAATTTGATATGATATTTTTACATCCATACATACTAGTGTTGTGTTGTTTTTTTTTAGTCTTATATTTCTATCAATTATTAATATATATGAGATGCATCTGACTTTCATGAAAGTAGTTCGAGTTGTTGGAAGTTTTTTTTTTGCACTTAACGTTCTAATATAGGTTACATTTGTTGAATAAAGAAAATCTTTAAAGTAATTATGAAACATTATTTGAATTGAATAGAATAAATTCGTGTTAGTTATTATTTGATTCAATTATCTTTGAAAATAAATTTTAATATAAACTAAAAAGAAAACATAATGATAGATCAAACTCATGTAAACTGTAGTTTCTAATTTATTTTACAAACTCAAACGTAGAATGATTTGCTTAGAATAGTAATTATTTATTATTTTTCAGTTGACACTTTATGTGTTGATATTGTATAGAAAGAAACAGAAAAATCTGTTGTTGCATGAAGATGATTATGGCTTTAATATAAAACATTTAAAACTTTGATTAGTTTCATTATGACTTATTTTGAATGGTAAAAAGCATTGCTATAACAGACGACAAACTTCGAACAATTCTTTTCTAAGTCTATATAATAATATTCTTAAAAAATAAATTTATTTCTTTTTCTCATTTTTCTTTGATTTTCTTTATGAGTTTTCACTTGTAGAAAAAGAAACCAGGAATCAGAAGTTTTTCTTTTTTCTTGTAGTTTTGCATGTCAATCTCATCTAAGACGAATGATATATCATAAGTAAATATAAATTGTATTATATTATATTTAGCTTTAAGACCAAACTAGATATGTAATTTCATCTTGAATATTATTTAGATTAATGTCGTAGTTCTTTCTTTCTTTTCTTTTTTCTTCAATTGCTCGGTAGTGCTTTTTAGTTAGTTTATTTTTACTTTGATGCGCTTGTTTACAATGATTATCTAGTATAATTTGGGTGTATCCTAGGTAATTCAACTTTTTCTATAATTGACATGCACTACATATAGAATATGTCTTAAGAAAGAAAAACAAATGAAGCATATTAGATAATGCATCTGTCTAGATGATGGAATTCTTGTCGCTTTGTCTTGTTTATATATCAAATATATAAAAAAGAAATATATAAAGCTATATTTTTGAATATAACCGTGCTGTGACATCAAATTAACCTGAATTGACGAAATATTTTTTTCGAATTTATATTATATTCTTTACAAAAAAAACAAAAAAAAAACAGTAAATGTTTACGATGTTAACACACTATTTTTCATGAGAAAGAAGATTATTTTCTTAAAGAAGATTTGCATATTGACGACTTTCCTAATTTCTATATGGTGGTATCGAATAGATATTCGTAATTAAATTGAGTCATGAAAAAAAAA